AGAAACAGCTAAGGTGCAGAGAAATGAAGGAACTTACCCAGCGTCCCAGAAGGCTGGACGTCAGAGGCAAAGGTAAGATCGGCCTCGGTTGCATATTTCTATTTATCCCACGAAAGCTATTTGTATAACAGTTCTTTGGCAAACTGTCAAATGTTTTCTACTTTTGAATCCCTGTCACAGAATTGTCCGTGGTGGCTGACTTTACCGCCCATCGCTGTCCCTTCCCTTATCACCGAGTTTGCTCCAACCTCAGAGGTGAGCCAGTCCTTAGGTGTTTCAATTTTGTTGTCCTGCAGAGAAGGATTCCTAGAGAAACTCTTCCTCCCTCCCTAAAGAGCCAGGTCTCCATCTGCCGGTCTCTGCCCTAATTTAGGGACTGAATGGAACACGATACATTTTATTTTTACATTGTCTTAAAAAGCACATTCTCTGGCTAGTGTTACGCCCTTCAACCTGGGGAGGACACACCTTGTGCTTGAGTCACCTTTGGGATCTGTTGCATACAAAGCTGTCTGCGAACATGCCGTCTCCTTTCTCCCGACCTGCCTTCTCAAATCCCCTGCTATGTTCGGCCTTCCTTCCCCTTTTCTTTGCTGCTGTTTGTCTTTAAGATAGTCATCCATCAGCTTCGGAACTGGAGAGAGTTCAATTTTAATGAGGCTGTCAAAATCCTAGGTGTATTTTTGTTGTTGCTGTTTTCTAAAGTCCTGCTAACAGCGGAATGCTGGGTGAATGACAGCTTCTTGCATCTCGGAGATGATGCCTGGGCAGAGTGGCTGGAAAATGACCCATCTCTGTGCAAGATGCCCGTAATTCCACTTGAACAGTTATGGGCAAGAGCTCTGTGCTAGGATCTGCCTGGTTATCCAAAGCTGCTGTGGCTCAGTAGCTTCTGGAATTAAGCTGGGAACAGCTCTAGTAAGAAGGGAAGGAGGTAAGTGGGAGATGGTGGAAAGACGTTCTCTAATCTTCTGGGGCTGTGGAGGCTTTGTAAAAGCAGACTGGGAAGGAAAAGCAAACAAAGAGGACAGGAAAACCTGACTGCCTCTTGTAAGGGGAAAAGTCTAGTTTATAAGAGAATTCAAGGAATTAACAAAGACCACGCATGCTATGGTGCCTGGTAGGACGCATTGTGGAGTGAGTGAATGAATGAATGTGTAAGTGAACGTGGCCGCATTTGATGTCTGCAGATGAATCTGAATTACCTGAAAAGAGTTTTTCAGTTGGGTTACGGTCAGAAGGATAAATAAAAAATCACAACCAACTTCCTCAAGTACTTTGGTTTATCAGACACACATGGCTGCACCACCACAATGGAACCTCCCGGTAGGTTCTGAGGTCCCCAGTTCGTAGGTAAGAAGCTCAAGGCTCCCTGAGCTTGGGTAAGCTTTCCAAAAGGCACAGAATTTAAGAGTGACAAAGTCAGGTCTTGAAGGTAGAGCTTTCAACTTAAACATCTCATGTGCTTTTTCTGGGGATTTTCAAAGTCAAACACAGCGAGGAAGCTGATATGCGAACTGAACAGTCATTTTGTTCTTAACGTAATACAAAAAGCTAATTTTTTTCAGATAGTAAAGAGTTATAAGAAAAAACTCCTAGGTAGCTGGATTACACATGAGGAAAGTAAAATACTTACTCGTTCTTTCTGACCAGAAGGCTTGGGAGACCTTAGCAAACCCTGTTCAAACACATGACCTCCTTTTTCAACGGGATACATCTCATTCCCTGATAGAGCAAGTGGCAGAAAAATGCGCAAGAGGAGAAAGGCTAAGATTTACTAAGTTCTAATGTTATGCCCTTAATCACGCTAGGCTCATTAAACAAGTTACAACATTAACTTTGTGCATTTGATACCAGACCCTCCATGTATCGCTAAGCCTAACATACTGGGTTTGTTATTGTCCTATCTTAAAAAGGGAGAGAACTGAAAGTTTCAAGGAGTGAAGCGACTTGGCCAAGAGCATACGGACACTAGACGGACATACTGCAGCTCTGACCCAGATGTGCCCGGGTTCCTAACAGCAGGCTGAAGGCTTACGACAGGGAGCTCTGCTGGAGATACCCTTTTTGGAGGCTTCAGATGTGCTGGGATTTCGGGTGGCCAGTTCTCTCCAGCGGCGTCCTCAGTTTCCATGAGAATCTACAGGTCTGGATCACTCATTCACTGTGTGGTGCAATCCTTGGCTTTAAAGTAACAAATCCCCATCGTGAAAGCTAATGCATTTTGATGCTGCATAAATCCTTTAATAACAATCACTCAGTGTCACTGACTTATTTAAATGGACACATCACTTCAACAGGGCTTTCCCCCTCCTGCTCTGCCCTTTCACTACCAGCGAGGAAAGTAACTCGCTGCCTCGGCATATACAGGGGGAACTGGAGGTGGTTTACGTGCTCCTGTGTCTCCTGACGCTACATTCTTTAAATAGGGATGGGCGGGGGGAGACATGCCATTTTGGTCACAATAAATTCCCCAGTGTGCTACATTTTTCTTTTCCCTGCAAACTCGGATTGATGACCAGCGGTTTTTGTTTTACGCAGGTAACTGTGATCTTGATGCGGCATCCTTGAGGCGCTGCAGTATATCTCTATGTGACATTTTCTATTATATATTTTGGAAGACAGAAACTAAATGTACACACTGGGGTTTCCCTGAGACTTCCCTTCTCCCACCCAGAAACATGGGTGCCTCCACCTCTATGAAGGCTTGGAGGGAATGCGTCTGAAAATCCAGGCACAAAAGATCACCACGGGATGACTACTCACTTGCCAGAGGAAAGCACGTGCAGCCTTCATCCCGGGCCCGCTGTGGGCTCATGGAGGGCCCGGTATCAAATGCACTGAGAAAACAGTGCCTGGAAGAGCTTGCTGGGACGGGAAACAGAGTGCCAAGTTTCATCAGAGAAGGCGTTTGGACATTCTGCCCCAGAAACATACTAGAGGCTTCCTGGAATCCCATCTCTTCACAGACCTAGTCAAGCAGACTCTCGAAGGGCAAAGCCCAGGATTCTCCACTACTGAAAAGTGTTTAATTCTGAGGCCATTATAGTTCAAGGAAGGACGATTGGTAGTTAACACCGCAGGCTCCTTGACATTTCAGGGTTGCAGCCTTCAATGCTCCAACCTTCAGTTTCCTCTGATACAGAATAGAAGTAAGCATGTCACCTGCCTCATGGGGTTAGTGTGAGGATCAAAGGAGTCTGACACCCATAAAGCACCTAACATGGCGCTTGGCTAATACTCAGCTGATACGTAGAGGCGCTGCCTTACCCATTATTGAAAGATAGAAATACTTCCTGACCTGGTAATAGAACCACTGCTCTGATGCCCTCGGCTGCCTTTCCCCTACCTGGACCCTCTCAGGAACTCCTCAGACCTCCCCATCGTCCAGCAACGAAAGGGTTAATGCCCAACACAGACGGGAGACTCCAGGGTGGGGCGTTGGGGTCTGTGAAAAACTGGTGGTTGACATTCTTCAACTGCAACCTCTGTATGGCTGGTAGGCATTACAGGAAAAAAAAAAATTACACAGAACAAGACGTATCTCATATTCAGGCAAATGTTAGCTAAGGAATGTCCCCGTCTCCTAGGAAGGCCTTCGATACAGGGCTCCCTGGCTGCCTGCCACCTCTGGACACTGATGCTGCACTTTCCTTGTCCTCCTCCGGCCTTGACCGCCTTCACTCTGACCCCGTCTGTGAACTCTCACCTCTGGAAGCTTGACTCACGTCCCCTTTCTCCTTTGTTCTCTGGAACCCTGTATTTGTATTTGACTTTGCTGGAGTCTGACCATCAGCTCTCAGAGCTTTGGTATCTCTTTGGCTCATCCCACTACAGACTGGCCTCAGCCTCCAGGGCAGGCTTCACCTATCACTTTTAGGTGGTCCTGTTCCCAGACCCAGACACCTGCTCCAACCCGTCTCAGATGCCAAGTCCCAGCTCTTCTTGGTCTCACCCACCCTGCCGCTCCCTGAGTTCCACATTCCAGTCCTGCTAAAGATCAGGAGTCTGCATCCTTTGAGAACGGGACACCACAGCAGTGGCAATGACGTTGGAGGAGAGAGGCAGAAGGATCCAGAAGCATTTCAAAGACAGATACTGAAGGGAACTGAGCCTCAGAAGGAAGAGGCTGCTCCAGTTTCAGTGCTTATACACTCCATGAGGTGAGCGGCTGTGTCTGCTACAGCCAGTATAGGGCCTCGTACACAGGAAGCACTCAAGAGAGCTGGCGAACAAGAAGGGTTGATGGCTGAACGAACGACACCAGCAACAGAGAAAGAAACTAAAGCGTTACTACTAAGAAGTTTGGGGCTAAATAATGGATTTTATTTCAGACACATGGTTAGAGGTCTGTGGTACTCAAAACTGCTGATTATCAAATATTTCTGCATTTTCTCCTGCCCAGCACGTGGTAGACTGCACTCGCCCACACACCAAAGGCAGGCAGGGCCTCACAACGCGCTTAGCTAATGAAATAAGAAATTGTGTCGCTTCTAAACAAAAACTTCAAGAGATAATACGACTTCTGCTACTTCCCCGCCACATACGTGGAAGTGTGCCTGGAGATGAATCTTGAGTACCTACAGTGGACACAGATCTCTGAAGACCTAAAGTGGACATGGAATGTGACTGGCAAAATACATATCAGTTGTGTTAAGAAACCAAAACGTTGGGGTTGTTACTCCAGAATGATCTCTGGTCCGTATTAACAGATCCAGGAACCTACAGGTCATACTGAGGAAGACAGGATCTGGATTAGAGGTCAGGAGAGGGGCTTTCTGGTGAGACGCCAAGGACTGCCACGGCCCGGCTGCTACTCTGCCTGTGGCTAAAGCACCAAGAAGGAACTAGAATGCCAACTGCCCACGTACCAGCTACTGCCGGATTCAAGCAATCAGGTGGCCTCCCCCTAAGCTTTTGCAATCTCCTTTCCCAAGGAAGAAGCAGTGACCCCTGACATTACCTTTTGCAACTCTGCTCACACCACCCTGAGGACTTACCTGTGTTGTAGCCTCTTCCAAGGGCTGGCCAAGGGCGGTGGTTTTTCCACAGGTTTCCAAGGTACCAGTCACTCTGGTTCTCCACCAAGCCCAGGACCTGCTGACCTGTAAAGTACAGAGAACACAAACACCTTCAAAGGAGATGCCAAGTCGTCTGGATCAGGGACCGCTGAACACAGAACGTTAATGGCAAATCATCACGACAACAGTACTCACTCACTGAGAGGTTTTATAAAGGGTCAGGCTCTGACCTAAAAGCTTAACTTGCATTAACATATTTAATTTTCACCACTAGGCAGCCGTTTTTATTATTTCCATTTTATAGAGAAGAAATGAAAGCCCAGAACAGTTAAGTGATTTGCCCCAGGTCACCTAGCGAATCTGATAAAGCTGGAATCCAAAACCATTCATTCCTTCATTCATGTATGCCTGCATTTCTTTCCTAACTCAGGGAACACATATTTACTGACAGGCATACTATATCTCAAGCATTCCCATTCTGGTATTTCCAGCTGTACATTAATTTACTGGTTTTCCTGGGCATGGACTGAGATTGTTTTCTTACATCAGGGAGGAGGGATTACCCTTGTTTACTGGGACGAGAGCCCACAGAGAAGAGCCACCCTGTGTCCACCTCACAGGCTCTTTATTCTCATGCTCACTGCTTCTTCTAAAACATATTTATCTTGTGTCAACAAGCATCATGTCAGTATCATCTCAATATAAGAGTGCTGTCTAGACAACAATTGCTCCTCTGTCCCCAGAACTGGCTTTGATGTTGGCCTCGGTCTCTGCTGCATCTTAGCAACTTAGGCAAGTTAGCCTTGTAGTCAGTCTCATAGGCATATGTCTCTGGGACTTCATATCAGATCCACCTTTAGACAACTCCATCACGCCACCTGGAGAAGGTCTGCTTTTGCAGTCATTACCAATACCACTTCACAGGCGAGGAAACAGGCTCATGAAGGACCAGTGATTTGCACTGCTGAATACGGAGCTAGGATAGACATCTACACTTGCCTGAAACGAAGATCCCTTCCACTGTCTCCATGTGTTATTGCTTATCCTTACAACAAATATTTGAGGTAGGAATTATAAAACCACATTTTGTAGAAACGGAAATTGAGGTTTAGAAAGTTTAAATAACTTGCAAAAGTCATGCAACTAACAATTCCTCTCTTCCACAGCTAACCGATACCTTTTGCATTTAAACTCTTTTATTGTTGGCCAATCTGAGAAATAAAAGACCTTTCTAATCAAACAAAAGCCCAGCAGCACTTAAGAAAACACAGTGGTTCTCCCAGAACGCCATGCTGGGTGATAAAGAACCTCCCTGGCATGATGACAGCTCTCTGAAATGATGGTGTGTGGATTTGGTGTAATTTATTTGATCCATTTTATTAAGCTCCTATCTAAATCATCACCCCGGCACAAATACATAAATTAGAGGCATGGGAAAAACACTACCACCCACTTTGTCTTTGTATATGATCACATCTAAAGTAGAATTCCTCAGAAAAGCATATCGCCAATTCAGGAAGTGTAAGTCAATCAAATACATGTGCAACAGTCTTAGGACATTTGTGCAGAACAACTAGATCTGAAAGGCAGGGTGCCCTTAGTTTGGAAAGGTGTGTGTCCTGTCCTGATGCTATGACCCAGTTAGAGACCTCATTTAATAACCTCACAATGAGGATGGGACGCCAAGGGGAAATGTCATTGTTGGGGGAGAGGGATGATACGCAATTACTAAGACCCGAAGCAGGTATCACAAGGGATTTTTGTTTTGTTTTGTTTTTGGAATGATAGGGGATGACACAGACTCAGAACTGACAAAGGGGAATGACACTCTTTTTTTTTTTTTGCGGGGTGGGGGAGGATGGAGTCTCACTCTCTTGCCAGGCTGGAGTACAGTGCCATGATCTTGGCTCATTACAACCTCTGTCTCCCAGGTTTATGTGATTCTCCTGCCTCAGCCTCCCCAGTATCTGGGACTACAAGTATACACCACCACACCTAGCTAATTTTTGTATTTTTAGTAGAGAGAGGGTTTCACCACGTTGGCCAGGGTGGTCTCGATCTCTTGACCTTGTGATCTGCCTACCTTGGCCTCCCAAATTGCTGGGATTACAGGTGTGAGCCACTGTGCTCATCCAGGAATGATCTTTTACTATATTTAGGGTGCCCATCTAAATTTGAGGTAAGATCATCTTCAGATACCTGAAAGTCCAAATTTCATATTGTGGCATCCCATACATTTTATTTTGCCTCTGTTTACTTCTTCAGACAAATACTCTATGAGCTACACTTTATTCCTGTGAAACAAAAATACAGATTTTTTTTTTTTTTTTACTGTGATCTAATTTTTACCTTGATCATAGAGCTCTCCATTGGCAGACATCACCTTTGCCCCTCTGTCAATCCCCACCTACAGTCCTTCCAAGGCCCATATCCGGCATGAGGCCTTTTATGAATAATCCCAGGTTTGAACTATTACTTTATCTTCACTCCCATATTCGACAGAAGACATCACTATTTAGTACTTCCTACTGGTATTTTTCTTTATCTTTTTTTTTTTTTTTTTTTTTTTTTGAGATGGAGTCTCACTCTCTCACCCAGTCTGGAGTAAAAACAGTGCCATCTCGGCTCACCACAACCTCTGTCTCTCAAGTTCAAGTGATTTTCCTGCCTCAGCCTCCTGAGTAGCTGGGATTACAGGTGCATGCCACCACGCTTAGCTAAGGTTTGTATTTTTATCAGAGATATGGTTTTGCCATGTTGGCCAGGCTGGTCTTGAACTCCTAACCTCAGGTGATCCACCCACTTTAGCCTCCCAAAGTGCTGGGATTACAGGCGTGAGCCACCGTGCCTGGCCCCTACTGGTATTTTTGCCATCAGCTGACTTACACCCTATAAAGGATGAAGTTGGTAATACTCAGGCGCGGACACACACCACATGTGTAAATATCCACGTCCTGCATTATTTCAAGGGTGAAATACTACAAGGTGGAGTATCGAACACACAGTAGGCGCTTAATAAATGTCTGCTAAATAAATGACATTTGGTGGGTGAATCTTTCCTGACTGAGTGTGTGTTAGTGTCTCCAGAAATCACTTTACCCTCTCTGCATTCACCAACATTGACAGACCTTCCACCAAGTTCTAGGAACTCAAGGTAGCCGCCTTCTCTGTATGGAAAACTGCAAAGATGGGGTGACAGCACCCACTTCGGTGGCTCTACCTAAGGCTGAAACTTAATCTCTAGAGAAGGAATGATTTTCATGGCTAACCTGAAGTCACACTATCCCAAAGAATAATACCCAAATTCCACTTCTCTCAATTTGCACCTGGGCTGCACTGTTTTTGATAGTATCACATAATCCTTTCACGTACACCAATCCTCTTAAAAAAATCCTTAATTAGCGACATAATTTGAACTTTAATATCCAATGGTGAGAAAAAAATAATAATCAACAGCTACTGAGACTTGGTTTTGCTTTTTAAAAGAAATTCACTAGCTGTCGTATCAGTGATGAAAACAGGAGTAAGGGTAGGCCATTTTGCTGAGCCTCTCAGCGGTGCTTTGTGCTTTCAGGCTGTGCGTTCCCCGCTTCAGAGCTCTCTCTGTGTGAAGAGGGAATCATGAACACCAATTAGCTGGAGATAAAGACCGCAGGCTGACCTCAGGCTGCCTGGTTCCAGTCCTAGCCCTGCCACTTACCAGCTGCATAGCCGTTAGTCAAAAAATTACATAACCGATCTCTGCCTTGCTAACTGACTCTTTAACGGCTGCTGTGATTTCACGTGCTGAAATGACTTCATGTATGTGAAGTACTTAGAACAGAGGCTGGAACTCTAAGCACTGTGCAGATGACAGCTGTTTTTAAATGCCACTGTCCATCCTAAACCGTAAGCCCCTGATAGAGCTCAAGCATATCCATGAGGTTTTCTTTGGCGGTCATCCAGCACAAGAACTAGGCCTTCTGGAACTCTGCCTCTGTAAGTGTGGTGTGAGGACTACCTGTTTCAGAAACACCTGAGGTTCTTGTTAAAAGCACAGGCTCCTGCGCTTCAGCCTAGGAGTTACTTATTTGTGGGAGGCTGATTTCCCTTACCTCTCTGGTTTCTAGGACGGGTTTCCCGGCTTCTTGAGCTGACCTTTACTCTTTCCCATGGATGTGGAAGGAGTTATCTGACTGGTGACAGATAACCTTTTCCACCTCCACGGGGAAGAGAAAGGTGAGTTTCAGAGGGAACCAAGCTGCTGTGGCTTAGCCCCTTTCTCCGTCGCTTCTTCCGGGAGTCAGCATGCCAACAGATAGCCTGCATCCAATCTGTTCTTTCATGCTGTCACGTTTTACAGAGCAGACCCCCTCTCAGTGAGGCTGTGGTTGCTAGGACTTCTTGGGATGGCTGGGCAATTCCAACTCTGAGTTTTGGAGCTAGGAATAGCCATTGTAGATATTTAAGGACTCGAAAGTTGAGTCCTCCAATTTCACCAGTACCAGTAAAACAAGGTGACATCTGGCTGTCGCTCCTTTATCTCTAAGTTGGTTCAATATTGGCGGGGGGTGCGGGAGGTGGTGCATATGGGGAAGTAATATCATATATGAATTCCCTCACTCCACAATATTTCTGCATAAGAATTCTGGCCATGGGGTCTAGTAATTTGCATTGAAAAAAACGCAACTCCCCAGGTAATTCAGATGCACATTACGGTTTGAGAATCACTCATTGGAGTTTGGAAGCTCTGTCCTTGCTTTAGTCAAGGGTAAATTTCACCTGCAGGGTGACTGGCACATAATAAACTCACGTGGTGTCTAAATTCACCTCATGAAAAAGCAGAATTCATTGGTAGTCTCCAGTGCCATATTTCCTAAGTAAAGTAGTGAAGACAATGAACAGCACAGCCAGACGCCTGGGTTCAAATCCTGACTCCTCTGCTTACTAGCTGCGTGACCCTAAACAAGGGACTTAGCCTCTCTGTGTTTGCTTCTTCATTCATTTGTAAAACAGAAGATAGTAAATACATACCTCACTGAATTAAAAGTTTTTTCCTCTAAGCCCATCAGTTTGTGAAAATGAAGCTGTGTTCCGTGCTTATT